TGCTGTGTCAGCAGTATTTTAGGTCCAGTGCAAAGGGAGGCAAATGTAGTTTCCATGGCACCTGACATCCACATCAAGAACTCAGGTACATTGGAAAGTTACATTTCCCAGGTTCTCTTGTGCCTGGGCTGCTGCTGCTGCTGCAGTGCTGAAGACACCAAGAAGGAAGTGGGGTACTTGGTTTACACACTCTGCTGGGAGACATGGAATCTATTTAAAATGCAGCCAAATACTAAAAGCTAGGCAAGTTTTAATTCCAAGACAGATACTTATAAAGTTTGGTGTTGTCACCACCTTTCCCCTGGCTTTTGACACTTGGGATGTATATTGTAGGACTCACCCTATTTTTGAGATTGTAAATTGTTTTGAACTGTTTTAAACGGCTATAACCCATTCTGGGACAACAAGGTAAAGGGCAGGCAATGAATTAAAACCATCATCATCATCATCACTTGTGGTCAATGGTCACTGATGGCATTTATGCCCCTTCCTACCATCGCCCAATGCCAAAGAGGTGTTTGCTTCAATGTACCCAGGTAACTTTCAAGCTGCGTGCTCATTAATTTAAGTTCCCTCTAGTGGGAGAAAGAGTCTTCTTCAAATATACAATATTATGGGTTGTGTTCAACCAAGTTTTACATAGAGTAAAGGTAAAGGTAAAGGTCCAGTCGTGGCCGACTCTGGGGTTGCGGCGCTCATCTTGCTTTATTGGCCAAGGGAGCCGGCGTACAGCTTCTGGGTCATGTGGCCAGCAGGACTAAGCCGCTTCTGGCGAATCAGAGCAGCGCACGGAAACGCCATTTACCTTCCCGCTGGACGGTACCTATTTATCTACTTGCACTTTGACGTGCTTTCAAACTGCTAGGCGGGCAGGAGTAGGGACTGAGCAACGGGAGCTCACCGTGTTGCAGGGATTTGAACCGCCAACCTTCTGATCGGCAAGTCCTAGGCTCTGTGGTTTAGCCCACAGCGCCACCCGCTTCCCTCTTTACATAGAGTAGACCCATGGAAATTAATAGACTTGGGTTAGTTCTGGCTACTAATTCCAATAGGTCTACTCTGAGTATTATTAACATTGGATATAACCTTCTGTCTGATGCTCCCTTCCCAACTCTGAATGCTGGGAATTCAACAGGCTCCAGTGCCATGTGGCTCAATTATCCAAGGCAGGGGGGAAGGAATTGCAGCTGTGGAATTTTCCTGTGAATTGTTTTCATTTCTAAAATTTCTTGATTCATTACAGTACCTGTTTCTCCCCCCCCCCCCAAAGCCTGGGACTGAGTGCATCTCTGTGCAATAGAACTAGAATCCTGGAGGTTTTGCCTATGAGTTAAGGAATGCCCACAGTACCTGGGATAAAGGCCAACACCAACATTCTGCATCTCTCCATTGCTAATGCTGAAACAGTTGCAGGTCACCTGTAAAAACAAGGTTATAATCCATGATTAGTATTACTAGAGCCATTGAGAAACTTTGTATCCGAGTGAAATAAATGTTTAAAATACAAGGCAGCAACTGCTGGGTAATTAGAGTAGGGATATTCAAGTCCAGCACAGAGGTACCCTTTCATATTACGGCATTTAAATCTGGGACACAAAAAAATAATGAAGCCAATTAGGTGCTGAAATGCCAGTGTCCTTTAAAAGGCTGCCAAAATACAAGTTTATATATATGCTGAGACCCCATTTTCTAGTCCCAAGAAAACACACAGACACACACAGTTTCATCCTATGGATGTTTGCAGTGTTACATTAATCAAAACTGAATCACCAAATCTGCCTACAGAGTAATTTCACATGTCTTGACAGGAAAGCTGATTTAAATGAATATACAAACAGTAATAAAATGCCTTAACCCTCCCCCACAAAACACCCCACATTAATTAGTCTGTTATTTAACCCATTCATACTTCCCAACCATTTACAAAAGTCATATATCTTAATTATGTTTCTCCTGCTGCTATTGGAAACATAATTCGAGACAACACTTGTGAGCTATGTTTAGTCAATTTCTTTTATAAAAGCAATTAAAGTGTTACAAAAATATTGACCTTGTTTTTCAGTACATAAAAAATTAACAACTCTTTCCAGCTGGGAGAAAAATTGTCCCATTTCTCCGAAATACTTTTCCTAAGTGTCTTACAATAGAGTCCTATAGATCTATGTGGTTTCAGCATTACAGAATGATTCATGCCAAGAGTTACAAGGCTGGTTAAAGCAGCGAGGCAAATATGCCCTGGCCTATTGCTCATCACCATGTGTTTGATGCCTAAGACCGCTGCTTTGGGAGGAAGAAATATGGAGAAGAGATTTTCTGTACATGTGGCGAAAGAGAGTGGAGAAGCAACAGGCAGTGGAAGAGTTAATCAAAATCCCCTTCCCTCGGTGTCTACTCTGCTCCACATCACACATCCCTTCCAGAGTTGCCTTTCCATTGTCAAAGCAGCTGTTGGGCTTTTGTTACATGCACATGCTGCCTTGAGGACTGGGCCAGGTTGTCCTCTCACAGGCTGTTGTGATTTTAGGGAATCCTTCATTTAGTTATTACAAACATTTATAGACCACCCTTCATCTCAGTAGATCCCAGACTGGGATACAAATTACAAACTGCACAGAATTACATAAAAAACAATCCAAACAAAGAAAACAGTTAAAACAGCAAAGCAGACTACCTATCACAAATTAGTTCTTACAAAAACGCACATTAAAAAAAGTGAAAATGCATGAGCAAACAGTTGTAAGTCTTTCCCTCGATGCTGAACGGATAACAAGTGTGCTTGTGTGGCAAGGCCCCAAACCCTTCCCCTTTGTTGGAATAAAGACACTTGACTTTATTTTAGGTTACTGGGCTAAAATAGGTCACAACTTTATTGGTTACAGAATGTGAGTGGTATTGGCTTAGGCATTGGAACCGAACCAACTATATCTGACTCCTGCCTGCCTGCAGGAAGTCTCAGAAGGGTTAACCACCAGTAGGGGGAGCCCTGTTGATGCACATCAACTAGGAACTCTCCCAGGGTCACCAACAGGGGTTGTGCCATGGCCCTAGCCCCCACCAGGGCTTCAGATGGGGCCACGCTCCCGGATTCCTTTAACGGAATACCCTTGAAATAGGAGGGATAGGTGATGGCCACTACCTCCCCTCACCTCCAACCGAATACCCCAATGCCTAACCTCCAAACCTTACCAAGTTGTGATGATTTGCTATGAGGTAGGCGAAAATCCAAATGGCTGGTACCAATTTTCCAAGTCAAAAAAATTCCTACCAGGCCCCTTCAACAGGCAACCAACCAAGGTCAAAGGATTAAGAGCTTAATCTTAGGAAGGGAGGGTGGGAACCAGAAAAAGGGGTGAGTTCCTGCTCGCGGGCTGCTCACATAGAGCATGCCATGCCCCCTGGCCAACTGGATTGGTCAGTCTAGGGCGTGACGCAGAAGAGACTCCCTATGACGCAGGGGCTAGCCACACCCCCGCACACAGGGCGGGGTCGTGTCCAGCCTGCAACTCCATTTCCCCGGGGAAGGGAAATGGCTTTCTCAGGGGAGGGTATTATACCAATGGGGTATCACTACAGTGAGAGGCCCTTTTTCATCTCAACATATGAACACACTTCCCCAGTAATGGTTATGCAGAAAAGAACCTCTGAAGGTCTTAAGGCATAGACAGGATGAGCTCTGAGGTCCTTGGAGTTTAAAGGTTTGCCGCAAGCAAAAACAGATAAAGGTATGCAGTGCTTTTCCCCCTCAAAAAATGTTTAGGGGTACTCTCATTTCGACTCAAGAAAATCATCATTTTCTAGTTCAAATCGGGGGAAATAAACACAATAAATGGACAAAAGTACAAAGATTCACAAAATGTTAAAGGGTACGCGTACCCCTGCGTTCGTCCAGAAAAAAAGCAGTGGCCCTTTTCCATCAAGTTTTACGTCAAGGAAGTGAATAGTGTACAAATAACACACACACAAAAAGAGCTTTTGAAGATAAAGTCTTTTTCGACGAGTTTCAAGACACCTTCTGGTATAACTCCATTATGTGCACAAACAAGAAAGAACAAGGCAGGGGTCCACCGACAGCATATTTACAGTTCTGGAATACATGAACAGTAATAAGGGCCATACGAACTATAGATGCAAGCAAACCGTTGAAGTTGAGTAACCCTTTGACTGACCGAATTGAGATGTGAACTCTGTAACTCCAACTGGTATTGTGATGTCTCAGATACATGGAGGTAACTGAGAAAATGTAGATGTTCTTAAATGTTGTTGTCATAAATATTAAGTTCTCGGAGTTTCTATGCAACTGTTCTCCTCTCTGAATCCACAAAGCTTTGGAGTAGAGTGCGGGGAGCCACCTGATGAGAGATGCAGCTATAGAAAGGCTATTAGTGATTAACACCCACTGTGGATAAAGGGGAGGGGAACTCCACTAATTAGCAGGAAAGGCATTTCCCTTTGCAGCGTTCTTGATCTTGATATCTCCATACAACACACACACACTAATGATGGCACTGCTTTTTAAGCCTTTGCTATTTTTGTAGTCAGCCCCAGCCTTCTCAGGATGAGACACAGCCTCCATCTGCGGGATTCTTCTTTGTACCCACTAGGAGCTTTCCCCGCTTCCAATTTATCTAAGCGAAGCAATCCAGGGGTGCCAACAAACAGAAGTTGGCTGATTTCATTTTAATAAAAAATAAAATAAAATGAAAAAGATCCCCCCGCCCCCCACTATTTCATGGAATCTGCAAAAAGGGAGGAACTACAAAATAGAGAAATATAGTAGAGAAAATGAAGAAAGGATGTAGAAGCCTGGTGTTAGCTTATACAGACATTCTAAAGATATTTCTTCTGCCTAAGGGAAGTACTTTTAAAAAAAATTCCTAATATACTATCACCACTATTTCTGTATTATGAGATGATTCATGTTCTAAAGACAGAAATTACCCCATTATAAAAACTCCATGTTAAAATAGCCAGTACTTGGAAGAGAAATCAGTCCACAAACAGCTCAGCAGAATTTTAGCTCAGTTGGTTAGAGCATGGTGCTGATAAGGCCCAGGTTGCAGGTTTGATTCCCATATGGAACAGCTGCATATTCCTGCATTGCAAAGGGTTGGACCAGATGATTCCTTTCAACTCGACACTTCTATGATTCTATGTGCATACTAAGCACTGCCTGTTGGATAAGTCATTATCCTGTGGATTAAATTTCTATCTGCAAAAGGGGAATAATCACCATCCTATATCCCACAAGGTTTTTGTAAAAATTGTAAAGTCATTTTCATCCTAATATTACTGTGTATGCTTCTATTATAATACCACTTGAGATCACCTGTTTCAGAAGCAAATTGTCTCACTGCAGAAATGAAAGCTAAGTTACGCCTCTAACACTATACATGTTTTGTGAAAGAATACACAGGAGCAAAACATTAATATTAATATCTATAGCAACTACAGCATGATGGCAACAGCAGCCAGAAAAAGTGGGAGAGGCATGGCAGCATAAGATGGAACAGATGTGAAGGAGGTCTGATGCTGTAGTATTTGCTACGGAGGAGGACCGGGCACAATGTACAAGTTTGCTTTGTGCCTCTGGGAGCGTTCAAAACATTTTAATAGTTGTAAGTTCATACACATGGGTGCTGTATGCAAAAGCTAGAATTAAATGCAAGCACAAGGAGGAAAAGACAAAGAAAACCGCCTTATACTTAATCAGATCATTGAGCTCAGTCTACATTGACTGGCAGTGGTTCTCTAGGGTTCCAGTCTTCCTTTGCCCCACCTGGAAATGCCAGGGACTGGACCTGTGACCTTTTGCACACAGAACATGTGCCCTGCTACTTAGATAATGTCCTTCCCTTGAAAGAAAAAGACAAAGAAATGAGACAAGTGTTGGTTGTGTTGGAGAGCGACCAGGATGATAAAGTGTCTGGAAACCAAGCCTTATGAGGAACAGCTGAGGGAATTGGGTATGTTTAGCCTGGTAAAGAGGAGACTGAGAGGAGATACAATAGCCATCTTCAAATATCTATAGTGCTGTTACATGGAATATGGAGCAAGCTTGTGTTCTCCTGCTCCAGAGGTTAGAACCCAAACCGGTTACAAGAAAGGAGATTTTGACTAAACATCAGGAAGAACGTTATGATAGGAAGAGACAGTGGGATGGTCCTCCATGAGAAGTGGTGAACTCTCCTTCATTGGAGGCTTTTAAACAGAGGCTGGATGGCCATCTGTCATATTTGATTTAGTTAAGATTCCTGTACTGCAGGGGGTTATATTAGATAACCCTCAGGGTTGCCTTCCAACACTACAATTCTATGATTCGATGGTGAGCCAAGTTCAGATAACAGGAAGCTCAAGGACTTAAGCTGGAAGATGAATGAATGGAGTAGAAATTCAGATTTGTCTTGCAATCTTTTGTTCATACAGATATTCTTACTGTTTTTGCTTGATGTAAACACTAATTTGGCAGTTCTGACAGATTCAAGAACTGAAGAAGTAGATTACATACAATAGCCAACTCATGGGCCTAATATTTATCATGCCCTTGAAGTAAATAATGAAGGTATTTTACATGTGTCTAAGACAATACTTTGTATAGTGTTTTTATCTTATATTTTCTTTCTTTCTTTCTTTCTTTCTTTCTTTCTTTCTTTCTTTCTTTCTTTCTAGATCAGGCTGTCATTCAGCATCATGACAGTCTCTTAAATTTCAAAAGGGCAATCCACATGTGACCGTTGTTGATGGTGGCCGAGGTAGAAACCCCTGCTGGGCATGGAGTTCTATCCATCCAATTCACCGGCTTATGGCCCATATACTTGATTATCATAGTCCACCAAATCCTTCTGCATTAATCAGATTTTTCTGTTTACCAGAACCAGTCTTTGGACTGGACTTACCAAAAGATTCATCTGGTTGTTGAGAAAACTGAACAAATGAGAAAAGGGACATTATGCTGTTATGATCTGGTATCTCACATAGGTTTTTTTCCACATTTTTTCTCCATTAAACATCAAAACTTTGCAAGTCATTAAAGGCACTAACTTTTTTCTAGTTCTTCTTCCATCCATTAATCTGTAAGTGTCTGTGGTTAGACTGCTAGTCTGTGCTAATTTGTTATATTCTCAAATGAATCAGAATGATTTGCACTGATGCCATGGTGATGCATGATGCTGCATTACCTAAGAGCAATAACATGTTCATTTAAGAGTAATAAATGTGGGAATGCCAAGTACAGTACAGTCACATCCACAGCAGCACCTCAGTACTGAGCGATCGGGGACGACAACTCATAAGCCTAATGTTCACTATGACTCAAGGCATTTCATCTCTGATGACCACAAATACAGCTTATTAAATAAGGTCCCTCCCCCCCCCCAGTTCCATGCCCTTAGATAATTATAAAAAATTGCTTATAGTGGATAGTCCCTCTAGCCAGTTTCTAGAAATGTTGTTGTCTTCAAATAAGGTGAAAAGAAGAGAGATAAATAGGCACATTTGTTTTCAGTTTTGTGAAGAAAATGCAGCCACGCATCTATCATATGCTCACACCATACCCCAGGTTTATTGTTTACAAATGTTCTATTTAGTATCTACAGAGATAAATAATAGAAATAAGGTCAGATTCACACTTCCACTGAGGATACACTGGGCAGTGAGTGGGATAGACATTGGGTTTGTGATGGGGATGCAGACCATATGGTGACTTGTGCACCTGGTGTGAAGGTTGTGGATGTCATGTGTTGTCCACAGCCTGATAAATAGAGTTAGGAAAGAGTCAGGGATGGTGGTGCATATTGATACCAATGAAGTGGGGGAATGTAGTCATGTGGTCCTGGAAGTAAATTTAAGTTGCGATGTAGAAGGTTGGAAGCCAGGTCCTTCAAGATACCTTTCTTTGAAATGCTATTCGTTCCATGAACAGCACCAGACAGATAGGCAGGGCCAAAGAGTCTAAATGTATGAATGAGACAGTGGTGTTGGGAGTATGAGTTTAGTTTTGGTAGGCACTGGGAATGTTTGGGGACAAGTCCAGCTTGCACAAAAGAAATGTGCTCCAACTGAACTAGAATGGAGATAAAAAGCTGGCAGAAGAGCAGACAGGAGCTACAGAATGTTAAGTTTGGCCTAAATCGTATTTTAAGGATGAGGGTGAATGTTTGCGATCGTTCTGTTTTGCTTCCCTCTCCCACCCTCACTTCATGCAAATCTGGACCTGTGATGTACCACTACTCCCCTCCAATGTGAGCTGCAGGATGACAGCCTTATATTTTTATGCACATGGGAAGACAGCACATGCATCTTTGCCACTTTAAAATACATTTATTTGTGTTTAAAATGTAAGGGCGATTGATATCCAGCTAAGTCGTGATTTAGTTGGATACCACCCTCTAATTTTTCCACTTTAACAAGTAGCCAAAACATTGAGAAAAGCACAAAAGCCAATTAAAATAGACTAAAATCTTCAGAACAATATTAAAACTCTGTTTAAAACCAGCAGAAGCTGCTCAAGATCATAAACAGCACATATTTACCACGTGGGAAAATGATTATGTATTCTGTACTTGGCTATTGTACCTCAGTATAAATGGCAACAACAAAACCCTCTTTCGAAGCAGCCCAAAGAGATTGCTCTGATTACAGAGAGCACACCTATGCCATTTGAAAACAGGAATTTATCATGGACTGTGAAAGACTGAGACTTGGCTTTACTGACAAGGCAAAATGTACCATACTATATATATATCGTACAATTAAACCACAACCACTAATTTAATGCATTAGATATGGGAATAGAATCCACCACTCCATAAAGTCTTTTCCTTTTACCATCTGGAAATGCATCAAATTTAAGGAACAAACTGAGTATCTTAGTGTTATCAACATTGTTTTTCTGTTCACAATAACATGATGGGGAAATTATACAGCAAAACAGCTGCCCTGTTTGATGCTGCCCTGAAGACTGCTGCCATTACTGGCCACTAACATTAAATATTAATAGAAATTGAATATGGAGGCAGAATGTGGAGAAAAAGCAGCACACTGAGGAAAATCTACAGGGCCAGATGACATCTTTTAAGCCATAACTTAAAAACCCCTTAGATAAGAGAAATTATTTCACAAAAATATTGTTGTTGTTGTTGGAGTGTTAAAAGATGTACTGGTTAGATAGAATGAAAACAAGCCATATCAAATGGTTTGCTCTTAATCACAGCATACCTTTTTTCTTTGCTACGCTAGAGAGTATTGGAAGCAAGACTTCACTGTCTACATAGCTTTGGATTTGTTTTTGTTTTTTTAATGATATTTATTGAGAATTTTAAGGTTACAAAGAAATAAAAAGGAAAAAACAAGAGAGAGAAAAAAGGAAAGAAAAAAGTAGGTAAAAGTAACAATTAAACAGTACAAATCAGTAAAAACAAAAGTCAAAAAGAAAAAACAAAACACACAATACATCAAATTCAAAAAGCAAAAGTAAACAAAAAGATTTAAAAACAAATCCAATATTCCCAAATCCTTAAATGTCATTACCTTATTTCATCGACCTCCTCACACCTCCCTTTTTTGTATTCTAGTTATTAATTATCTCAGCAAATCCTTTCCATCTTTCACAATATTCTGTCATTAAATTACCTTAATCTATTTTAACCTTATCTTACCATAAAAAATCCTAAAACTTAAAACTTAAATCTTATTTATACCAAATTCTCTTAACCATTACGTATTCTTACAAAATTCTTTTTAACATTTCTGCTAAAGCCCAATAATTTCATTTCAACATTTTTCTAATACTCATTAACTTTACAATACTTTTCTAAATGAATTTTTAAAACTTTCTTCCGATCTTCATCCATCGTCTCTTCTTCCTGGTCTCGGGTTTTGTCAGTCCTTTCTATCCCATCCATCTAGTCCATCAACCTGGTGACCTTATGTCCGAGGCTCTTAAGTCTCTTCCATGTCCCTTCCGCAGGTCTTCTTCATATTTATACCTGTACTTTACTTTGTCTTCTGCTCCTTTCACTCGGGGAGACTCCAACTTGACAATATTTTTGTCCCTTCTCGACACGTCAGCCCCTTTTCCATAGTC